AAAAAAAAAAAACCTGCCTGGTAGCGCAACGGGATAAAGCCCAGCACTGCAAGCAAAACATGGCCGCTTCAGTGTGAGTTCGATCTCTAGCCCCGGAGGTGATCCACATGGTGAGGCAGACCTCTCCTCACCTGCCTGCTGCTCCCCTCAGCAGTGTTCTTTGTCAATTTGCCTGTCTGCTCCCCTCTCTGTATTTGGTAAATCCTCTCGTCACCCCTGCACCCCAGCTTGTACCCCAGTTCCATATGCATAAATAATCTTTAAAAATAAACAATAAACAAATAGATAAAAACCTGCCTAGTGTGCTATATTTCACAAGACCCTTGGCAATTAAAAACTCAAAATCTCACCTCACTTGCCTTTATTTAAGCTATGTTACTCCTCAGGTCAAAGCTATGTTACTTCTCATAGCAAATCAGCTCTGATAAGTTCCACCTGTTCTCCATATGACCTATTGAAAACTATAATATTGTGTTAAAGCACCTGTTTCTTCTTCAAAATTGAACTTTCTGTATATAAAAGTACAGTTCCTAATCATAGGACACCTCCCCTTATAAATCAGTAAGCACATTGAATAGGCTGATGCCAGTGTTATAAGGAATGTCTGGGCGGTTTTTTATAAGCTTTCTAAAATTATGGGGTAACCTATCTCAGTCCCCCACCCCACTTAGCCTTTTCAGCTTCTTCTGGTCTCCCCATAACATCACCTCATTGCGGGTGACTCAGTCAGACAATGACACTGAACGACTATCTTGGGTCTCTCTGAATGGTATATTATTTGTGAGTTGGGACTCAAACTCAGGTTCTAAAATTATCCACAAGTGACTCAGTAAATACATGCTGAGCAAAGATCATAAAATGTTGAAACTAGGTCCACACTATTCAGAAGGAAATAGGGGCTTAGTGAGGGGAAGAATTTTGCTTAAGTTTGGCCAATATTACAAACCTTTCTCTGCTGTGTTTTGTTCCAGATTTAGCAGGTCCTCAGGGGCACAAGAGTCAGCTACGAGGGACGGGGAGCTGTTGGAAGGCTGACTCCCATGCTGCTCCAACACAGCTTCCAGTTCAGCCATTTCCTGCTGGAGTTTTATCAGGTTATCCTGCATGGTATCCCTCTGCTGCAAAAATAGGAAGTGATACCATGAAAGTTATACTCTTTTAAATAAACTGCCAGAGCAAGAATATGTCACACCAATTAATTTTAGCACAAGAACTGAAATCACCTACTATGGAATTATGAGTTCTGGCTGATCACCTTTTAATACAACCTTTAATAGTCACATAACTAATGCCCGTGAAATTATTTTAGAATGACGTTAGGAGGAGGAAAAGTCCTCAAACGCTCCCAAATAGACTTGCTTTTTTTAAAAGCTAGGGAGTGAAAAAAGAATCAAGGTACTCAAGTACTTATGGTATTTAAACTTAGCACGATTCTGTTAACATTTTACACAGGCTGTGTCTCAAAAGATTTGCTATTGTGGTACTCAAGAGATGAGTTAGTCTACAAAACTGTGAGTTTAAGCTTTTATTTATTTTTTAAAAAGATTTATTTATTTATGTATATATGAACTGGGTACAGGCCAGGGGTGTGGGGGGTGAGATGATTCACCAGAGACAAAGTGGGAAGCGGAATAAGTCGATCCACTGAAACACTGCTGAGGGGAGCAGCAGGCGGGACAGGAGAGGTCTGCCATGCCATGTGGGTCAGCTCCCTGGCCAGTGATTGAATTCATGCTGCATGCAGTGGCTGTGGATAGCTTCATAGTGCTGTGACTTAACCCCTTGTGCCACTAGAGAAGCCCCAATTTTTTAGAATGATGTAATGTTAAAATGTCTCCTTCTTATGGCATGCTAGAACAATACAGTCAGTAATCCTGCCTTGATTACTAGCTTGGGATCCTCTCAACTTTTAGTTTCTAACAGGTGGGACACAGAGCTAATTAATTTATATATATTGGTTCATTTAACTATTTGTTGACCACCTGGTACTTGTCAGGGTATCCTAGTGCTGGGAGAGTATAGTCCTCATACTAGATTGGGACAGGGCACCTGGAGGTTATCAAAGAGGACCTGCTAGAATCCAGTAGAACATTCCTGGAGAAAACCTTGTAAGGGCAGCTGTTTTTGATTCAAGATAATGAGCTCTTCTTGCTTATGGGTCTCCTGATATTTATTACTCCATTTCATGAAGAAATCTGCTCAGTCTAAGATTTTTGGTAAGCAAAGAATGCGGCAGTAAAGATATTTCCAAACACACATTTCTCTACCACTTTTAGAAGGTGCATCAATGGTCATGAGCAAACCCCAGGGATACACAGATTGTTACACCCTCTGTTTCTTCTTGAGTACTGAAAATGATTTTGCCCTCTACTGAAAATGAGCCCTCTATTTTCTCCTTCTTCACTAAGTTTTTATGATCAGAAAATGTACTCCCAGCTTCACAAAGGTTTTCACTGCTTCCCTGAGACTGTTCTGCTGCCAGTATCTGTAGCAGCGCCAATGCCACCACATGGTGCTTGGGAGTCGTTCCCTCACGGATCTAGCCCCTGCCAAGGACTGGCCTCAATGAATCTGGGATGAACCACACACAGATATAAAATAAACTTCAGAAGGTTACTACCTTAAGTAGGTTAGTAGTGAGGAAAAAATAGTATCGGGGGATTATAGTTAGGTAAATTTCCTTTGGGTTTTCTCAAAGGAGCTACTTTAGCACTCAGACAAATTCTCTGGGAGAATTTGTGGGAGATCATTTGGGAGATCAAAACCAAATTAGCGTCTAAGTCTTCACTCTAAGTCTTAAATGACTCCCCAATTTGCCCTACTGTTCTATCCCCACTAAGCTAACTCTGACCTCTACTTTTAATTCATCTAGATTACTGTGGAAGTGTCTGAACAGCCACATTTATTATCTTTCCTCTATAAGGTATAACACTACTTGAAAAATAAGTCAATGCTATCTGAACGCTATATAATTATTGCTATTGCCCTCAAGATAAAGCCCAAATTCCTAAACAGAACATTAAAAAAGCCTTCACACACCACCCAGATGATTTTGTATTTTTTGGGCATCCCATGCCTCTGTGTCTGCCTCAATTGCTGTCTCCCTTCTCTTTCCAGCTGGAAAAAAAATCTTCTCATCTTTCCAGGCCAGCCTGAGTGCCTATTTTGTTAAGTCTCCATCAAAAATACTCTCCTACTATCAAAAAAGATGAGCTCTTGGGCTCTCCCTGGTAGTGCAATGGGTTAAAGCACCGCATTATGAAGCTCTCTGAAGCCACTGCAGCACCAGTTCGATCCCCAGTCAGGGAGCCAACCCACCTGTTCCCCTTAGCAGTTTGCTTTGTCAGTCTGCCTGTTCCGCTCCCTACTCTGTCTCTAATGAATCCTCTCTCTGCCTCTGCACCTCTGGCCTGTACTGCAGTTCTGTGAGCATAAATAAATAAATCTTAAAAAAAAAAAAAAAAAGATTGACCACTCATTAGTTCACACAATATCTGTCTTTTGGTGTCTGACTTCACATAATGTTTTCCACAAAATGGTTTCTGTTCATCCATGTTTTCTAAGTCTTCAATGATGCACATGTATAACTTAACAAGACTGACTTTTCTCAGGTTTATCTATTCTGGCCCTCCAGGGAAAAAAAAAAAAAAAACCAAAAAAAAAAACCTGCACCCACTTGCTGGCAGCTAAAATTTAACTGAGAAAGAGTTTAAAGTTTAAATGAGAAAAAGAAGCAATAACAAAATGATCCCATCTTCTTAACAAGACCAACTGAATAGAGCACAGCAGGTGAAATAAGTATAAAGCATGCAATTTATTACAATTTTATAATTTATAATATTAGACATTAAAAAGACAGTTCTGGTATCTTTATTTTTAAGAATTTACACTGAGTGCAGCCCTGGTGGCACAAAAGGTTAAGACGCAGCACTATGAAGCTGTCCACAGCCATGCAGCATAAGTTCGATCCCCCACCAGGGAGCTCACCCACATGGCACAGCAGACCTCTCCTCTCTCACCCGCTGCTCCCCTTAGCAGTGTTTCAGTGGATCCACTTTATCTGTTCCTGATTCTTGTCTCTGGTGAATCATCTCAACCCCTGCATCTCTGGCCTACCCCCCAGTTCTTGTATGCATAAATAAGTAAATCTTAGACCCTCCCAGGTGGCACAGTGGGTTAAAGCACTGCACTAAGAAGCTAAAAGCCACTTCTGCATGAGTTTGATCCCTGCCTGCCCTGGAAGTGACCATATGGCGTGGCAGACCGCTCCTGACCCCCCCGCTGCTTCCCTCAGCAGTGTACTTGGTCGATCTGCCTGTTCTGCTCCCAGTTCTGTCTCTGATGAATCCTCTCACTTTCCACATCTCTGGGCTGTACCCCAGTTCTGTATGAATAAATAAATAAATCTTAAAAAAAAAAAAAAGTAAATCTTAAAAAAAAAG